TAATCTCCCTGATGAGTAACCATACATGATTAATTTGTCAGAATCATGTCTTTGTACTCCATGCAAGTTATGACTGCAGGACTGTAACTTTGTTGCTTGTAACTTTATGATTTATATTGACATTGATTGTTTCCTGATTGCTTATTTGTACCCTATGACTACCATTAAGTGCTCTTCCTTATGATTCTTGACAAATGTATCTTGTATTTTTATGTACACTGAGAGCATTTGCACCAAAGACAAATTCCTTGTGTGTCCTATCACACTTGGCCAATAAAGAATTCTATTTTATTCTATTCTATTCTACAGAATTGATGTTGGAGTCTCAAGATCTTCATTCTGTTCTGCAACATACTGAATATATTGTACTGAAGTTATTAGAAGCTTTTAATACCTGTCAGTTTTCCAATTGTAAACACGTTTATTAAGACCGCCAGGATAGTAAAGAAGCATGGACAAGATTACACACACACACACACACACACACACACACACCATTTCTCAATCTCTAATCTTGCCAAATCAAACACAAAACACAGAAGGTTTTTTTTTATAATAACGAGCACTTCCCTAATGTTTCTTCAAAGGTTTCACTCAGTTTTATATAGCTTATACATTTTTCCTCTTTTATTCTTTTTCTTTTTCATTGTGCTTTTAAGCAGCTTTTTAAAAAAGTGGATAGAAAAATCCTGTTTACAATTACCCAGAAGTGATTCTCATAAATACGAGTCAGTCTACATATATACAGAATTAAATTATTACACTCTTTGCTCCTATTTTATTGCCCACAATAAGGCAAGATTATAATAGAATTCATTCTAATTACTCTAATCTATAAGCGTATACTGTGTAGACTTATAAGTACATTAAAATTGTTTTTAAAAACAGCTAAATAACATATCTCAATTTTATTTCAATCTCTAGCTCACCCTGTTGGTCAAGGAGCTTCTGAAAAACAGTTATTAAATTTTTCTGACTCCCAATAGCTAGATAAATATAACATCATCAAGGTCTGCTGGTAAAAGCATTGTTCTGGGAGTAATTTTTTCTGGAAACAATAGAGTTTAGTCTTACTATTGCTCTTCCACTTAAAATGAATATCAGAAAATGTCAGATGTTCCCTGGTAAATCCAAGTTTGTTCCTTAGAGAAAATTGTGAAACTTATATAAAAGGATATTTCATTTCATGTTTAATACAGTAGAAGAACTTATTTCCAAAATTGATTGTGTATATTCTACAAAATATAGAATTCCAAAACTGTTTTAATTCTTTCATTGAGACTGACAAAAAAAATGAGATACATGGCAACCACTTGAATCCTTCCTCCTATTAACATAACATAAGACATCCCATGCAAAAAAAATTCATGCTGAAAACCAGTGCATTACATAAGCCTTTTTGTACTATGAAAGACACATTCAAAGGCAATCCTTTTTAGCTCTACCAAAAAACCTAGGCAAGGAAAACCAAACATACAGGTGAAACTTTGCTCAATAGTCTTAACTGCACGAGGGATCTTAGGAGTGCTAGTGGACAATCACTTAAATATGAGCAAGCAACTGCCAAAAAAGCCAACATAGAGATAGAATCAAGATCACGTGAAGTGTTAGTATCATTTTATAATGCCTTAGTAAGACTTGGAATACTGCATCCAGTTTTGATTACCAAAATATAAAAAGATGTTGAGACTCTGGAAAGAGTGCAGAAAATAGCAAACCAAAAATGATTAGGGGACTGGAGGCTAAAGCATATGAAAGACAGTTGCAGACTTGGATATGCCTGGTCTAGTGAAAAGAAGGACTAGGGGAGATATCATAGCAGTGTTCCAATATCTGATGGGCTGCCACAAAGAAAAGAGGGTCTACCCAGAAGGCAAGACAAGAAACAATGGATGGAAACTCATCAAGGAGGAGAAGCAACGTAGAACTAAGGAGAAACAATGAGAGCAATTGGAATAAAAAACCAACCCTGTTATTTTGAGATGGTCATTACTTAGCACAGGGCTCAGCAAACTGCGGTTCTGGAGCCTCATGTGGCTCTTTCCTCCCTCTGCTGTGGCTCCGTCACCGGTTGGCGCCACAATTTTGAGAGGAGCTTCCGGTGGGGAGGGGCGGGGAGAGAAGTACAGTGCGCCAGGAGAAGACTCTATGGCAAGGGGAGGGTTTTCCAGTTGTATCCACAATTGATAGGGCTTTCGGTTATGACAGGTAACCGAAGAGGAAAAAGTACGCCGCTCCAGAAGGAGACTCTATGATGGGGAACTGAACTTCCGGTCAGCTCTAGAATTGAACAGGGGGCTTCCGGTTAGGACTTTTGTGGCTCCCTGTGTTTTGTTTTTTTCTGTGGGAATCGGGTCCAAATGGCTCTTTGAGTGCTTAAGTTTGCCGACCCGACTTAGCACATTGATTCACATATGTCAATATTTTAAGAATTGTGTGGTCTTACCATGTGGGTTTAAAAATATAATCATGGAATTTAAGCCATGGAGGCTCTTTGGTGGTTTGCTAATCACAGTATCATTAGACAGGCAGTGTGTCCAATATCTACATCCTGGGGCCAGGCATGTCATTGACCTTCCAGGAGACAAATTAGGGAAGAGTATCTTATTACCTGAAACTTCATATTCTACATGTTTTCGTCTTTGATCTCCTGTTTTTATGGCTTATCAGGTTTTGTCAGTTCACATGCTGTCAGTATATATTCCCTTCACACCAATCAGTTTCTACCAATTCTCTGGTTCTTTTGATTTATCTAGACACATCTTCACAATTTCTTCCTAAAAGCTAAGGTGCGTTGCATGATTTACCACCATGTGAACCCTGAAATAACTATATGTATAGATAACTTTTTGTAAATGTTTTCATTGACATCAGTTTGTAAAGGTAAACAGGTTTCACTAAAACCTGTTAAAAATACTCTAAGAAATTGCATATGTGTGTACATTGAGATATCATACTATCAGCTAGAATGTTTACCTTAACACTTGCACTAGGGAGATAGTAATTTAATGATAATAATGGAGTAACTGAACAATTAATCTGATCAACAGTTAAGAATTCAAAAAGAATTGATAATCATTCTGTGTACTCTGAAAATTTCACATTTTTTCCTGCCTCTTAAGATCTTTCTCATATATACATATATTGCATTTAATTATACACATCTGAATGTTATCCAAAGCCATTTATCAAAAAATTTAACTTGTTCCTTTGTTTCAAGGACGGGGGTGGTGGTGGTGGTGGTGGTGATAAATCCCCTCCTTGTGGCATTTAATGTGTTTTGAGCCACAGAAACTTCCTTGTTTAGGCAGACAAGAGTATGTACCACAACATTTCCTTTTGAGGACTGTCGGTTCTTGTTATCCAGTAACTGTAGAAACCGTAATGGTAATGTTATCTCAGTTTCCTTTTTTAAAGGCTAGAGTAAAGCCCTTGATTTCACCTTGCAAGATGAAGCTGAGGTAATATATCTCCCGCAGAGGTTGTGGCTTTCCTTCAACACACATACACAGACAGACACATACCCAAGTACATTTGGCACAATTTATGGCAGGAGAGAATGAAAATCAGTCTAGTGTAAAAAATTCACATAGGTCTTGGTGTCCTGGCACGTAATCACCACATAGGGGATGCAGCTGTGATGCTACCTTCTCAGTTATTTCTCTTCCAGATATAGAAGTCCTGACATTTCTTTGGTATTTGCATGTGATTAAAATATACCCTAAATATAACTTAATTTCTATAAATAGCAAAGTGTGTTTCAAGGCCAATTAAAAATAAATCTGGCCTTTAGAACATGTATAAACAGCAAATATGTTAAAGCTGAAATAAAGTTTACCTATTAACTTAAATATTTCCTTGGATGAAGATATTTTTCAATTGTGGAGCTTTTAATTTTATGTACTGACCTATACAAAAGCTTCAATCAACATTCCAGTAACCACTGAAAGATATTACGACAACTGCAGCAATCTAAAACTTGCCTTTGTCTTAATTTTGTTTCATATATAATTCTATTTATGGAACAAATCTAGTGCAGATGCTTCCTTTTGTTATTATACAAAACAAAAATCACATTCTGAAAGGAGACTTGTCGTAAATGAAGAATAGCTACTATTTGCACAGATACAAGTAATGCTAAAACATTAAGAGGTTTTTAAGAATAGGTTGGACAACCATTTGTTTCATATGGTATAGAGTCGTGATGCCGAACCTATGGCATGCATGATGGAAGTGGCATGCAGAGCCATCTCTCCGGCCACATCAGCCGTCACCCAGTGCTCCTCCGGGTTCCGGTACCAGGGAGCTATTCTTCTGGGTTCTGCCATTCCCCCCTATATGCATGTGCTCCCATTTTGGCACTCGGTGACAAAAAGGTATAGAGTTTACTGCTTGAGCAGAGGCTTTGATTAGAAGACCTCCAAGGTTCCTTCCAACTCTGTT